ACTGCCATTTTGGGTTCAAGAAGGAATTTTTTCCTAGTTTGTTGCAAAATTGGAAGCGCTTCAGTTTTTTGCCTTCCTTTGGATCAACAGCAAAAACATATGTGAGGAAGGCTGAACTTGATGGACATAAGTCTATTTTCAGCTATATAATTATGTAACTATATGTAATCAGTAGAAGGTCACAGGTTCCCAATTCTAAACCTGTTTTTCGCAAGCAGACAACATGATACTTGTTACCGTTTAGGAATGTGACATATCTACTGCTATTGTTTTTACACATCCTCTTTGTTCACCAATTAAACCAGCTGCCTGTAGCTGAAAGTAATCTCTTTGCACTTACTATTGTTAAGTACCTGGAAAATGCAAGTAAAACCAAAATAAAGAATATATAATAATAAAAAATAAAAAAAAGAACCAGGGTATCGGAAGAGACCTATTTAATAATATTTTGATTACATAAATATTTTTCTTTTTTTGTAGGTTTTTAAATCTGTTGCTGGGATAATCTAAGGCTTCCCATTGTCCAATGTATAAATTGCCTTGGTGGTAGCAGCTTTTCATATTAGAGTTAAGTGCGGGTGGTGTTAGGGATATTTTATCATCATTTTAGTACAGATATATAAAGTTTTTCTAAACCATTTCACCCCAGGAAACTACTACAGGCATGCTTGGATTTGAGTGATCCATGACACTAAGCACCAATACAACTTTTATTTAAATAATCAGTTTTCATATATAGATTGTGCTCCTACAGTATCACTTTAGTTTCTGTTTATGCAGCCTTTGCCACACGACCCCTAGCTATGACTCGTGTAGCATTTATAAAAAAGTTTAATCAGCTCTTACAGCACCCTGTGTTTAATTTAGAAGTTATTTTCTAGTATTCTGTTGAATTTTAATCACACTGTGCAATAACAGAAGCTAAAAGATTTCGACTTTTTTTTTTCAGTTAGTTTGTAGAGAGGCTTTATTAGTCACAGCCAAGAGAGGCATTGCTAGGTCTGCATAAATAAAGTGATATGAAGGGTTTCTCCAAACACCAGTACCACTTGATTTGAAGTGGCCCTGATGCCCTGAATCATTATGTGCAGCATTTTACTATGACACACTATATATACAGAGTTTAACCAATTTGAGCAGCATCATATTTATATGCACAAAGTTGTATTCAGAGGGGTGAAGCCTGACCGCCAATCAGATCAGACGTGATTTGTCTGGGCTACCGCATCTGAGCCAGAACACAGGAGATAACTTCGTGCCACCAGCTAATACTGACCCAAATCCTATAGGAAAGCATTTGATTGGCTCAGATCCCTACTTCTGATGATGCCAGCCAAGTATGTAGATCAGTAGCAGAGCCAGCAGCAGACTGGAGTAAAGGTAAGATTTGACTATATTTAGAGGGAAAAGAGGGGGTCATGGGGGTTAGATGGTGATTGTAACAAGGAGGGGTGTTAGATCTGTTAATTCATACATCATACTTTGCTTTAAATCCAGCAATTCTAAAGGTCCGGTAATTCGTCTAACTATCTCTCCTTATATTACCTTTATTAAGATTGTTGCCTTCTGTCTTGTTGAGGAAGTACATTGACCACACAGTGCACTCTAGTACGCAGTGCGGCATCACTGGTGCAGCACACAGTTAAAGAAAAGATAGGCTTTCAAACAGATTTTGCACCCACACTTATCTTCAATGATGCTGTACTCTGTCTATATCACTACTTCTGTCATACTCATTGTTGGCAGAATTCCCTTGTACTGCATACTGGGGCCAGCAAGCAAATAATTGAGATTTTCTTTTTAAATCTTGGCCTAGATATGCCCTTCAGACATTTTTTAATAGCATGAACAATGTTCGGATTTTGCAGGCCCAGTATGCAACCACATGGCTTTATTTGGACTTTAGTGAATAACCCTACTAGTCTCACACTATGATCAATGATAAAATGGCAATCTCCCATTTAATGCTGGTTCAGCAGCAGCTAGCTAGTTAGATATAGCAGCAAGGTAAACCTAGTCTCACACTAGGATCAATGACCCAGGCTACCTCCAACACAGATACAGCAAGGGTAAATAACAGAGTATTGGTACTGGTCTGTTTCCCTCAGAGCTGCAGTCAACATGTTTGAAAAAAATCCTGCTTGGAAGTATGTATTGTTTTAATGCACCTCCTTTTTTTTTTATTATTCAGTTTACACTTATGTGAATAAAAGCAATATATGTTTTCCTACCTCTTGATTGGACAGGAGATACAGGACAGGATTGGCCTGACCTCCTGTCCATCACAAAAAACAAAGCTGCCTACTTGCTTCCCCCATAACCAAAAAAACTAGCTTGTTCTGCAGAAAAGACACTCTGAAACACAAATCAAGATGAGCATATTTATGCTATCACATGTCAGTTCCCCGAGGTTCTGTTGTGTGGTGGCTCAGAAATTGGAATATTGGTCAATCAACTGATCAAACCAAATTCGGCCAAATTACAGTTCAAATCTACAAGTTCACTAAGTATATTGATCCTTACCTTATATTAATATTAACAAGTGTGTGCTCTGTCACTAAATCATTAATACACCTCATAGCTAATTATTAAAGTTTTAACATACGCACAAGCTCATCAAGTGATATCACTAAGGAAGGATCGATAAATTCCATTATTGAATGTGTTACAGCTATGGGACTGCACAGCCCAAGGATTTATTTAAAGGGACACTCTAGGCACTTTAACCACTTAAATTACCAGAAGAACAAAGCATACAGGTACTCAATATAATACAATATGAATGCTGATCATTAATATCTTACTTTTCAAATAAAATAAAATAAGCCAATATTATTGACCATATGCAAACAAATGTGCTAATTACAAACTTTGAACTATAATTAAGTGGGGAAAAAAACACATTTACAGGGAAACATAGAAAAAAAGAAAATAACATAGCGCAAGTAATTCCCCCATAAAAAAAAAGAACAAATGTTTAAATTAGTGTAAATATTTATAGATGCACTTACTAGACGTAGAGCTGCCAAAGAGATACTTCACTGCCCAAATACCAACCTCAAAAACACTGTATAGAAGACATACCCCAAATAAGACATACCCCAAACAGTCAAAAGTCAACAGGTAAACATATAGCCATAATTGATGTTGAACAGAATTACCAAAAACACTTTGTGTTTTGCCACAATACACTCACAGTAAACTAAATTGTTAATTAATTAAACCTTAATGTAAACAAATAAAAAGAAGACAATAGGGAATTGGGGTAAAGCGCAATTAGCACTTTTCTTTGTTTTTTTATTGTATGCATTGGGGCTTATATGTACTGTAGGAGTTGTTGCCACCTAGGAGAAATAGGACATTGAGCGCAGGACTTATTTTTGTATATTTGTTTTTGTATTACACAGCCATGTTACAATGCTGCTGCCCACCCTATGTGTTCCCTATTAAGGGCTAATACGTATGTAGGGGTTTTGCAAAATATATTTTTCTGTCTTTAGATATTTTTTTACCTCAAGCTGAAATAAGTAATGGGAATTGTTAGTGTAGGACTCACCTAACAGGTTTGTCTTGATGCCAGTTATTTAAAAGTGCATAGGGATTTGGGATAGTGCACAAGTAACACTTTTTTAGACACTATTTTAAAACAATTTATTTTTAAAACACCACCCATGATAAAATGTAGCTAGTGTATGTGCTTAGTTCTCCATAGAATAATTAATGCAGGTGAAACTTAAAGGGACACTATGGTCACCTGAACAACTTTAGCTTAATATAGCAGTTTTGGTATATAGAACATGCCCATGCAGCCTCACTGCTCAATCCTCTGCCATTTAGGAGTTAAATCCCTTTGTTTATGAACCCTAGTCACACCTCCCTGCATGTGACTTGCACAGCCTTCCATAAACACTTCCTGTAAAAAGCCCTATTTAGGCTTTCTTTATTGCAAGTTCTGTTTAATTAAGATTTTCTTATCCCCTGCTATGTTAATAGCTTGCTAGACCCTGCAAGAGCCTCCTGTATGTGATTAAAGTTCAATTTAGAGATTGAGATACAATTATTTAAGGTAAATTACATCTATTTGAAAGTGAAACCAGTTTTGTTTTCATGCAGGCTCTGTCAATCATAGCCAGGGGAGGTGTGGCTAGGGCTGCATAAACAGAAACAAAGTGATTTAACTTCTAAATGACAGTGAATTGAGCAGTGAAATTGGAGGGGAATGATCTATACACTAAAACTGCTTTATTTAGCTATAGTAATTTAGGTGACTATAGTGTTCCTTTAAAGAGACACTCCAGGCACCCAGACCACTTCTGCCCATTGGAGTGGTCTGGGTGCCAACTCCCACTACCCTTAACCCTGCAACTGTAAATATTGCAGTTTTCATAAACTGCAATAATTACATTGCAGGGTTAACTCCTTCTCTAGTGACTGTCTACTAGACAGTCACTAGAGGGCCCTTCCTGGTTTCTAGCACAGGTTTTCTTTGCTAGAGCATCGCTGGACGTCCTCACGCTGTGTGAGGACCTCCAGCGTCGCTCAATTCCCCATAGGAAAGCATTGAAAGCATTGGAGCGTGGGTGGACCCAAAACCACCACCAAGGGACATCGGCGGGGGTCTCAGGTAAGTCACTGAGGGAGTTTTCACCCCTTCAGCAACATGGGATGGGTGGTGGGAGGGAGAGGGGACCTGCAGTGCCAGGAAAACGGTTTGTTTTCCTGGCACTGGAGTGTTCTTTTAATAGTGGCAAAAATCACACTTATCTTAATTTTAAAATCTTGCTGCTATGTTCACTCTTTCAATTAGCGTGTGGAAACTTGAAAACATAAAAAACAGTGATAGTGTATTATCATTTATTCAAAACCACCATAAAAAAATATTTAAAAACTCTTACATAAAGATTGGTGGGACCATCACTGGTTTTAAATGCACTCACAGCACCTGAGTATAAAGTTCTTCATCTATTGATTCAAATTTGCAGCTCCAAATGTATTTTCTTGTCTGTATTGCTCAAATTTCCTTCATCTTTCATTTAAGGGATGGCATTCTCATAGAACTTGCTGATTTTTGTTGAATGTCTCCTGCCCTCCGAACTGATCTCTTTGAGACTTAGGTCGCAGGCCAGCCTTCCGGTTGAAATTCAGCACACTTTCTCACGTTCTTCTTTTGGTCCTTTAGGCTCTGATCAGATTGGAGTTTTTTTTCAATGCGCATACATTTAGCACAATATGTAGTGATGTGACAGCTGAGGTGTTTCGCCCTGCCTACAGGGCTTCGTCAGAGCTCTAGGGGACAGTCAACTAAACCAAAATATTCTGTCTCAACATTTAAAAGCATGATATATGAGAATAACTATTTATTTATTCATGGATGAACACTGGATTATTCCTGCTTTTCTTGACCCTCTATTTGCAGTAGTAGTGTTTGCTTTCACTAGGGGATTATCGTCTAAAACATTTTTCTAAAAAACCTAAAAACTTCAACTAACGAGAATTTTAAATAAATCTATAAAACATGAACATCGATCAAATAAATGTATCTCAGTTACACAGTCTTCAGCAATATGAGAAATGCCTTTAAGAATTTGGTCTAAGGTCTAAGTTGACTGTCAGAAACAATAACTTAATATCTAGTACATGACTAGAAGGCATGCTGATTTGTTCTCAGCTATCAGTAAGGAAGTAAAGCACCAGTGCTTTTTGGGTCAGTGCTGGAGTAAAATGCAAAATGTTGTATAACTTCAAAGTTAACAGACTTTTATACTTTTAGAGCAGAATATATACATTTAAATACAATTATTTCTAATTAAGTTTTCAAAAAATGAGGGTAAAAGTGTTATACAAATATTTTCACAGCATGCTTTTAACCAGCAAAGTCTGGCTCAAAAAATAAAAAACTATGTTCAGATGTCGCATTGGGTGCTAAATTAAAGGGCAGCACAATGAAACAAATAATTTATCTCATATGTGAAGCCATGCTCACTAAAGGAAAAAAAATAGCTGAAAGAATGAGAGCTTTCCTGTACGCGATTGTTCTGTATAAATCCTCACAACCAAATGACTGAGGCTGAAATGGCCGACGGCTGGCAGGCGTAAGATATTGCAATTTCAGCTGTTTCTGCCTTCAGGGAGCAGCGGCCATCTTGGATGGGGCAAAATCTGTGGTGGAACTCCCGTTTTTTTCTTGCAGAACCCCAGGGTTCTGTGAAAAACTAAATGGGAAACATTTCTCTAGAATACCAAGTCCTCTGCTGACCTGTCCCACATCCTTTCTTCATCCTTGATCCCTCCCTCTCTCTCTCTCTCTCTGTTATGTCCCCACACACAGGGTAGGCAACAGAAGTGCATGGACTCTGCGACCTTGCACTGCCTAATGGAATGGATCAGATGCTGTCAGTGTGGTGTGCACCAGGTGCCAGCAGCTGGAAGATGGAGATAGCGCAGCACTGTGTGTAATGGATGTCCCACATTTGTTAGCACCTGGTTGCCATCTTGATGCCATTCTTCATTATACTTTGACCAGTTGCCATTTTTACCATCCTTTACTGGATCTAGTAAAGGCAGCCATAGATAATGTTACAGCTGATGGTCTACCTTATGCTCCCCCAGGGAACTGGCATCCTAGGCCACCGCCTATGTGGCGTAGTGGAATTTCAGGTCCTGTGGGCATTTACACAAGTTACAAGTTTGTGCAAAATTTCAGAGGTTCATTTTCAAGACAATTCACAAAGGAGTAATTGTGGTGAACTCCAACAAATTAGCAAAACAGGCAAAGCTGGAAATGAAAACAAAACTAAGACAGTTAGTTATATGTCTCTTCTGCAGCTATATCGCATTCTCTGGCTGTCCCTCCCCCCCATTATGCATGTTCCAGCTCATTGCCAAGCCAATCCCATAGTTCTATTGCATTTCTAGGGAAGAATAAGTAACATTCAGCCCTGTTTCCTCTAAAGCAGCGGTTCCCAACCCAGCCCTCGAGTACCCCTTACGAGTCCAGGATTTCGAGATTGCCCTGTTGTGTCTAAAGTGTTTGTTTTTTTTCTTTTCTAAAAATACCTTAAAGACAACTGGGTAGTCCCTGTTGGACTGTTTGGGGGGGGTGGGGGAGGGGGAGGGGAAATCAGAGGTAGTTTGGTATGCTTTAAAACCCTTGTTATTGTTCTGTACAATCACAAGCAGTGCCAACTGATTTCTTTGAAAATCTGCAATTCAGGTATAGCTTTTATGAAATAATAAGAATATTAATTGTTATTATTTTGTAGAGAGCCAACATATAAAACACTTTAAAATTTATAAATAGTGGTAGGTGCCGAAGAAAATGTAGAAGGAAAAAAAAAAGTTTTTTTTTTTTTTATATTTACCACAGTACAAAATGATTTTTGTATATATATTTCAAGATTGTCTACATTTGTGCATGCTAGTGAAAAGTATGTTTGGAATGTATTTTTAAAAGGAAGTCAATACTCCCACAGTGCTCCAGATCTGAACGAGACCTTTACCAGAGTAACAAAGAAACACTTGAAATCATTATAAAACTGTAGTGAGGCAACAAAACTATTGTTGTTGAGATGAGCCGTGAAATTTGCTTAGGAAATTCTGAGGAGGTAACCTGATTCTTGCATCTACTCACTTCCCACTATTCACTCCTTCCCATTACAGAAACACCCCAAAATTATAATCCTTGTGTTGGCTGTTTATAATTCAGCTGTGGATGACCTTCAACTACCATGACCATAAGCCAATATTTACATTTTCATTGGAGATGTATAAAAAATAACCGCTGCATACCTCCTGACATTTTAAATGGACAAAGAGAGAAACTTTTAATTGTAGTGGTGTGATTGGGGGTGGGCCAGGGGTTGGGGCTGTTCTGCAAAATAGATAACTAATAATGTATGTAACTAAAATCTAATTTAGAACAACAACAAAATATGTAAAATAAGCACAAATGATTGTACATCTAAACAGGGCCGGCGCCATCGTTAGGCGAACTAGGCGTTCACCTAGGGCGCCGGCCAGCTGGGGGCGGCCATCGAGATATTTCCTGGTGGGCTCCCCCTGTCTTGGTCCGCCCCCCTTCTGCGCCCGGCTGCCCCTCCACGCGGCCGAAGGTGGGGGCGCTCGGAGGAGCCCTGTCACAGTATGGCAGAGCAGGCACCTTCTTATATTGATGACAGGTGCCTGCTCTGCCATCAAATGATGGTGACTGGAGGAGAGGGGATGGAGCAGGCAGGCGGTGAGGGAGGCTCTTCTTGCAGCTCCTCACTCCTCCCTCGTGCGCCCTCTGTGATGCCATAAGCTGGAATATGACGTCATTCCGGCCCCGGCATACTAAACAGCGGGTGGGAGGAGCGAGGAGCTACTCCACACTGGACCCCAAGGAGGTGAGTGTTTGCCAGTGAGTGAGTGTCTGACTGTGTGTGTGTGTATGTTTGTCAGTGTTTCTGTGTGTGTGTGTGTGTGTGTGTGTATGTCTGTCAGTGAGTGTCTGTGTGTGTGTGTCTGTCAGTGATTAAGTGTGTGTCTGTCAGTGTTTCTCTGTGTGTGTGTGCAAGTGAGTGAGTGTATGTCTGTCAGTGAGTGTGTGTGTATGTTGGTCAGTGAGTGTCTGTGTGTGTGTGTGTGTATGTGTGTGTCAGTGAGTGAATGTATGTGTGTCAGCGTGTGTGTGTCTGTCAGTGAGTGTCTGTCAGTGAGTGAGTGACATGAAGGGGTGGCAAAATGGATCTTTGCCTATGGTGGCAGAAATCCTTGCACCAGCCCTGCATCTATACCGATGCCGAATTTTATGAAATATCTTTAATTTTGTATATTTGTTTGGAGCACTGTTTATAAATCAAATAATTAAATTTAAAACATCATAATTTCAACTACTACTGTTTTTTTGTTTCCCTTATGTTTTGTTTTATTTCCTTATGGTTGGGTACAATGTAACTGCGCTTTTTTAATTGCACTCACAGTGTGCTGGAAAAGAACAAATTGAAAAAAGTCTAAGTAAATTTTGGCCAATCCTCAGGGAGGATCCAGTCTTATTATTTATAGAAAGGCACAACTTTTAAAGAGCTTATTAGCACCAAGCTATTTCAAAGGGGGGTAAAGGTTAGATACCCAAGGATCAAGACATTCTACATATGGTTTAGAGGTTGTTCTAATTGTAAGGCCTGTAAAACAATTAAGATTAAAGCACTAACCCATATGGAAAGCACCAAAACTGGGGAACAGTTTATGATTAAGTCCCCTGTGAATTGCCGCACGGACTTCATAGTATATTTTAGACATGTGTAATTCGTTTCGGTCCGAATTAAAATTCGGCCGAATTTTGGGTAATTCGGACATTCGGGTGCTTCCGAATGTCCGAATAGCTGAATTGCCGAAGTGCCGAAGTGCCGAAATTACCGAATTTCCAAAGTGTAGTAGTGCCAAAGTGCCGAATTGCTGAAGTGCCGAAGTTCCGAGGTGTCAAAGTGCCGAAGTTCCGAAGCTCCAAAGCACAGTATTGCCTAAGTACTAATATAATTACCCAGTGAAAGAAGAATGTTACACTGTATACAATTTCAAATAAAAAGTATACAAACATAGACAGGATTCAGCTGTAAGCATTTGCAACACTTACAACAATCAAGTAACATACATTCATATAAAATGTAAGTTACTTAGCCAGTCATGTAATGACAGGAATGAATAAGTAGATAACTCGCTAATTCCCACGGTATTAGGGAGCTATCTACTAAAAGGCTAAAAGACCTAAATTTGTCTTTCAGACAAATTTACTAATACTAAGCGAGTAGGGGCATGTCTATTAAACAGTGAGCAGCCTGTGGGGCCCTAAACAAAAATAAGGGGGGGACCTAATGTCCTCCCCCTGGCCCCCACCCCTGAGTGGTGGGTGGGGACCCTAAACTAGAATAAGGGGGGGACCTAATGTCCCCCCCAATTTGCATTTAGGGCCACCATCCACTGCTCAGGGGTGGGGGCCAGGAGGGAGGACAATAGGTCCCCCCCCCTTATTCTTGTTTAGGGCCCCCACCCACCACTCAGGGGTGGGGGCCAGGGGGGAGGACATTAGGTCCCCCCATTATTATTGTTTAGGGCCCCCACCCACTTCTCAGGGGTGAGGGCCGGGGGGTGGACATTAGGTCCCCCCAATATGTATTTAGGGCCCCCACCCACCGCTCAGGGGTGAGGGCCAGGGGGAGGACATTAGGTCCCCCCCTTATTCTTGTT